ATGATGAGACTGGTAGTTTAACTTCATGGTGGAATCTATTGGAGCAGCTGAGTAGCTGCTTTGGGTATGTGGTCTGCTTCGCGTATATAAGAAGCAGCTTTGGGAATGGTCTCTAGCTTATGGCACACTTGAACCCTGCATGTAGCCCTGTCGTTCAGCAGCCTGCCATGCTTTGCTGACCTTGGGACTTTCAATGAACTTAAGTTAACGGCCTGCCATGTGATATAGTAACGTCGGGATTGTGCCTTTTGACTTGTCAACCTTGGGGCTTGTCAGCCTCAGCAGCCAGCAGCTGTCTGAGTGAAGAAATGCCTCTAGCTTCAGTGGGCCGGGAGCAGGAGGCAGAGCTGGATCCCAAGGTTGAGGGGTTTTCACCCAGCCCCTAGAGTCTGGCACTTTGAACTTGTACTTAAAGCCTCCAAACTGAAAGAGAATAAACTCCTGTTTGTTAAGGCCATCCCATTTGTGGTATATTCTTGTCAGAGTGGCACTAGGGAACCAGAACAACTGTTAAAGAGTATTGTGTTTTTTTCCACACCTTTCTGATGTAAATATACATATTTGTAGGTATATATTCGTAGTTCCATATTTGCTTTTTTGTTTACAAAAATGAGACCCAGCTTTATATTTTAAATAAGAAGCACTGGAGTGTGTGACTTGAGTTCACTTCCCAGTCCTGTTATTAGGCACGTGGCCGGTTTTCTCAGGCTGTTTTCTTGCTGATAAATTGGGGATCGTTATTATTGGCATCATGAAGCCCTAGTAGTGCAGTGGTTAAGCTTTCAGCTGCTAACCAGAGAGTCCACAGAAGAAGCAAGGTGTGGCAGTCGTCCCCCATGAAGACTACAGCCTTGGAAACTTAGGGGGCAGTTCTGCTCTGTCCTGTGGGGCCTTTTGAGTCAGAATCAACAACTCAACAGCAGCGGGTTTGATTTATTACTGACATCTGTTTTAGGGTGTAGGTGTGAGCAGTTGGTGAATTTACATGGTGGTATAGTGCGTGTTCCATAAATACTAGCTGCTCTTCAGAATTGTTCGACAACCTGTTTAACTCAACAGTCATGTCAGATGGCTACACAATATTCTGTTGTATGGTTACATCCATTCCTTTAAGCAATTCTCTATTGATGGGCATTTAGGGGGGTTTTTAATTCACCGTTTTCCCGTCATGTGGCATTCAGTGTGTTTTCACACAGAAAATGCCTAGGAGAATAATAGCCAAGTTGTTACGAGTTGACTTGGGGAGCAAGGATTGGAAAGAGTGGTGGCACCAGGACTTTGAGTTCTCGTGTGTGCAGACGTG